TTTCTTATTATTGTTTAAAATACTCTGATGTAGATATGAAAAATTAATTGAATATTGATGTAGATATGGCTATTCAAAGAATAACTCATGAATAATTCGATCCTTCTAAATTAATTTAGCACATATTTGATAAAAACTCAGGAGCTGCTTACATTCAAATACATTTGAATTTGGAAAAATCGTCTTGGCTCTCCCTAATCACTTTAGCTTCTCCCCTAATAAAAATATATATAAGGCGATTTTTGGCGTATTTCTAGTATAGCAATCAAAAGCAACCGCGACTAAGGCTATCTTCGTTTTCAGGGATTAGAAGATAAAGATAGCCTAATAACCGCGGTTGCTTTTGGTTGTTATATATCAGAAGCATGCCAAAAATTGCCTATAATAGAATTGTTAAATAAAATATGTCATAATAAAATATGTCATTTATTCAAAACAAAGAATAATGAAAACATAGAATAATGAAAACAAAACATTAAATATTTAAGTATACTGTTTAAATTTTGTTGCACATATGTTTTAATTTTTTCTTCTCCTTTCTTGTAGAATTCTTTTGTTTTATAAAATAATTAATAAGCCGCAGGCGTATATATGTACGACATCTCACTAAACAAGCACTGTCACCGGCAAAGAAATTTTAGTGTATATAATGCTTGTTAATTTGTCAAAAATTAGATATTCTGTGCTAAATAATTTGCTGTGAAATTTAAGGAACTCTTCGTTTATAACATTGACCACTAACTGTAAATTTTTAGAGGGATATAAACAGTTGCCTCTAGATAGATAAACCAGTCAGGAAGATCTGTAGTAGGCACCTACTAGGTATTTGTGCCGAAATCTGTGTGCAACATGTCCAGCAACGTATATGAGTGCTTTTTTTTCGACAGTTTCAAGTTACCAATTAAAAATTTGAATTTATTTTACTCCATTTTCGTTTACTATCAATATAAATTAATAGAGAATGTTTCTTAAATAACGCCCTTTTTAATGATATTAATGATATAGTGATATTCCTAATAAAAAATTGAATCGAAGTCCTCTACCATTTTGCAATTTTCGCAATTTTTTTTAGTTAGCCACTAAGCAAAATTTCTAAAACCGACATATAAGATAACTTTTAAAATATCTTTTAGAATTCTTTAAGAAACATCTTCGAAATATATACATAAATAAATTTTATTCCTAAAACTTTCTTAATGAAGCAAAAAGGTCGGATATATTAGGGTGATAAGAACACTGTAATCCTTGTGCAAACAATCCGGTAACAATTCACTTTAATAATAATTCACACTTACATATTTCGGCTCACCATCTTCAGAGACAATATAATGTTATAAATACAATATAATGTTATAAAGTTTCTATACAACTTATTTCAGTGAGTCACCTGCATTTATCCACTGAAACTAATATATTAGGTGTAGTAAAAAGAAATCCATTATTTTTCCATTCAATTTCATGCAAAAATAATGGATTTCTTTTTACTACACCTAATATAAAACGAACTCTACTAATACTATTACTAGAAATCTAAAATGTATTAAAATTATTAAAATTAAATTAAGTTGAAAGTCAAATTGATCATTATAAAATGATAACAGCTCATTAAAATAAGTAATTACTATATCGCAAACTTATTAGAAAGTAAATCATGAAGGCCCCGCGTTATTTGTATCATTTTTTAAAGTTTGCACACAAGGCAAAGGAAAGTTTTTTACTGTCCGCAAATAATTATACGTTTTAGCGTTAACTGAGTGAAGGGCAATCGCAGAGGAAATATTTTCAGCCGATCAATTAATACGTTTGTATTAATTTTTGTTCTTTATTTGTTTTTTGAAGACATAAGTTTTTTGATCTGTCCTGGCATAAAAATTCAACGTATCATATGCGTATTTGTATTTTTTCAGCTTTATTTTTCATGTTCTTATTAAATTGGAAGAACTTGTTGTGTTTTTCAATTAATTTTTTTAGATGCTGATTGTCTTCGGCGAGCTGCGCATTATATAGCTATGTACACTTGAGATTGAATTTTTCATTTTCTTCTTGCAATGTTTTCAGACGTTTTAAAATCCTTTCCGTTTCATCATTGAACTGAATATCCATTTGATCTTTAATGTAAACATACATTAAATATAAAAATTAATATAATATAGTACATGAACGTGGAGCATTTAAAACCAAGTATAAAAAAATAATATTTAATAAATAATTTCGCAATTTCACATTCCACACAAACGATGTTTTTAAAATGTAACATATAGAAGTTTAGACATTTCATTCCTGTTGCTAGAAGCAATAAGTTTGTTATTAAATGATATGTTACAATTACAACGTTGAAAAAATAATCGTAAAAAGAGTAATTTTGAACATTTGATAAATACTTTAGTAGTATTGTACAGTTCAATTATTAATATAACATCTTTCAATTACTTTATATTATACATAATTTATTTGTAAATATTTAGACATATTGCTATATGTAACAAATTAATAATAAATACATACGACTGTATTGTTTCGGCACATTCTAATAGCACGTCGAGTCTACTTTCCATTAGCTCTTTTTGCATTTCACTTTGTTCTGACATTGTACTGTTATTGTAATATTGATAAATAATATTATTACGTAAAATAAATCTTACTAATATGAATAACAAGGTATATTTTTAGTCCTTAATGTTGTATTACATAACACAACTCAGAATTGTTTCAACAACATAAATTTGTTACTTATTCTACTAATTCTTTATTTCCTTTCTGTTTCGATATTCAGATATTCTGTCGGTACTGCATCTTTCTTCAATCATCGAATCACTCATGATTGATTGACGGTGGAGGCGAAGAGTGCGAAGGAAGAAAGTAGTAGGGGGCCGCTCCGATGTTCTGTCCTTAGCGCAAGGCGCACAATTGAGAGAGAAAGCTTAATTGGACGTGATATCGGCTCGCGATGTCCTTTCGCTGTCTTACACATTTGTTACTCATAGTATGAGATATCCCGGTGTCTCTCGCTCAATATTCATAATAATATTCATAATAATACTTTTATTATACACAAAATATTGTAATTATGCATAAAAATTTTTAATATTGTAAAAAATTTGTGTGCATAATTACAACATTATGTGTAATTTTGAGACTCATTGTAATAGCTTTGCATGCATTTATAAATTTTCAGTAACACATACGTGTGTATGAATGTGTAGCGCCGAACGCCGGGGACACAATTCCTGCCGATGCGTACAAGTATGTATGTACGTGCATACGTATTTTAATAAGAAATTGTACTCATTATTTGTTGTTCCTTATATACATATATAATCGAGAATAACAATGAATGTAACTCTAAAACAAAAATTAGACATAATGTCAAAAAATTTGGATGTTATGCGGGGAAGAGTGTTGCGAAATTCTCAGAACTGTATGAAATTGGTAAAAACATATTATTTCATTGCTCTTGTTCTTGATTGTATATAGTAAAAAAAAACAATATGTATTTAAAACTTGTAGAAAAATGTATGGGAAAACATCTCAGCAAACGAGAATGAATTGAAATGAAATGAAATGAATTCAGATTTTCAAAAATATTGATTCACGAAAATGAAATGTTAAAATGAATGCTTTTCAATCCTGAATGCATTTTTATTCATTTATAGAAATTGCATGAAGCATCTCTATGCCTTTCAATCTAAAAAATAATATTAGCTTTTTCTATGCATTGTGAATACTGTTCAATTTAAAATTTTGAATAGCAAATGCAGTTTTTCAATTCAATTGTATCCAATTAAATCCAAAAAAAAATATTCGCTATTTAAAATACGCATTCGGAAAAAAATTTCAATCCATTTTAATCCAATCGTTTGCTGGGATAGCACAAACCTTACGTTTCTGGATTGAAGCTGGAGAAATCTTCATCTGAATGGAAAAAACGATATTTTTTAACCTGTTTCATAAATCTCTATTTTTTATAATTCTCATTTTTAAATTTTTATGTGATTTTTATGCACTTCATATTTTTATCTTTTACTTATTATATATATTTAATTTAATATCACGCAAATATTTTCTTAATATGCGAAGTTTCCTCTGGCAATGCTCTTCCTCTTCGTTCGCATCATTTACGGCGAAAAACCACAATATCCATTTCAAATATATATTTCAAATAGATATTCAAACATATTTGATATTCGAAAGCGAGAGAGTAGTGCAATCTAATGCAGGAACAGAAACAGACCAAAAGATTGAAAAATAAGCTAGTTTGTATCAATTTATTAAAAAATAACTAGATTTTCATATTTTAGGCATTTCGTTATTTGCCGAAAAATTTCCCGAGAACTATTTCACATTTTATAACAGCCAAAAATTACTTAATCACTTATTACATTCATGTAAATTTTTTCATTTTTTGTGTATTCATTCCTAGGGAAAACTTTACATAATCGATACCTTGATTTAAATCCTCGGTGGAAAAAAAGGCCCTAGGCCTGTAATCGCATACGAAAAACTAGGAAAATGCTATAGTATATGTAACGCACACTACAGTATTTCCCTAGTTTTTCGTATGCGGTATTTTTCAAGAATAAAGACCCAGGATATAGCCACATAAATGTATGCTCAACAAAAATTAGCTTATTACATTTTACGTGTGTCTTTATAAAAGAAACGCGATTGGATAATTTTCTTTATGCATTTATGCGGCTATGCAAATTTGTGGTTATACTCTCAGACTCTGACTGCGTTCAGCGTACTCACAGTTGAGTGGTGTTCGCTGTTATTGATATTCTTTTACATCATTCAATCAGCATTTTACATCTAGAAGAGTACATCAATAATAGCGAACGCTCACTCGATTGTTGAGTCCGTTGAACGCAGCCTGTTTTCTAGGGACTTTAGGCGATAAGTGTACGTACATACTCGCGGACGCAATCAATAGCGGTTACAGATGTCGCCAATGCTCTGATTCAAATTAAACGGAAAAAGTCGTTATCCTTGTGGCGGCTGGCTGGGGATGGACATTCTGATTCAATTCAATTATCGATGTGCCTACCAAAGAGTAACTAGCGTTCGGTACGCAACTCCGAATCTTATAGTTTTGTGTCGTGTGATTATTATTACTATTATTGTTATTATTATTATTATTTTTGTTGCTGTTAGTGTTATTCCGCAGCAATGTCATAATGTTGCTGAGATTCGTATTGTCTAGATAAAAATTAAATTAAAAAAATTAAACTGACACTCTTGTCTCTATCGCGGAGATTGACATACAACAACGAATCTCCTCCGGCGCCATGAATTCTCGATCGAAAGACGAGATCCGAGATATTATTCGCAAGGATCTGTTATTTATTCACAATCATGGTGTTGGACTGTCGAATCGTCTTGCCGAGGCTCTTGCAGATAATATGTCCTACGTGCATGAGCTGTTCGTACATTTGTCACAACCGTCATCTGGCCCACTTGTGGCAAAAACGCCGAAGATGCTGCGAAAGAAGATGACCCAGCGTATTGAAACCATACTCGAAGACGAAGTTTTTCAACAGGAAAACATCTCGCCAACTAGTTCCCTTTATTCTATCAATGAAGAGGAGCAAAAGGAGAACGAGGTAATGGGACATAAAATCAAAAGAGGAGCATACAAAAAAGCAGAGGATAATATCAAGAAACAAAGTTTTATTCTTAATGATTCCAAAAAGAAAGTAAGTAATGACAGTTTTCAATATCATACTTATGGTATTATGAGTTGATTTTAAGTCATAGAATATTATATAATATATGAGTTTATGAATATTAGGTAAAGAGAGAAAGCCATGTTAAAAGGAAGAAATATAATGTAAGCAGTTCTGATGAAGATAACAACGAAAATGTTTCTAAGTACAGTAAAATTGAAGAAAATATAATAGATATAAAAGGAACAAAAAGAGTGACAAGGAAGAACTCGAAACAGATCATTCAGCTTACAACCCCAATTGAAAAATCAAAAATTACTGAAAAAGCTAAGCAGGCCAATGAAGATAATTTTAAATTACCAGTTCTACAACGTTCTTCTAGTAGAAGTTCTTCTAGTAGAAGAAGCTCTTCTAGTAGAAGAAGCTCTAAGAATTCTCAGAATAGAGAAGTGAATAAAGTCAATGACGCCATTGTGCCCAATATAGATGATATTGAAGAACCATCTATGTATGAAGATGCAGTAGGAAGGCCTGTTCTAATTATGAATTCAACTCTAAAGCATAGCCTGTGTATGTCCGAAAAGGGATTAAATGCTACTGTAATATTAGAACGTTTACCAAATCAACCACCAAAATTAAATGAAACAGTAGTGATTCAGAAGACAATAAATGTAAAAAATAGTAATAGTTTGAAAGAAACAGAAAATACTAAGAAGACACTACCAAACAATATGCAACTATACAAAACATCTGCGCAATATGATGAATTAATTACAGATGATGAATCATCGCCTGAAGTGAAAAGACCGAAGAAGCAACTTAATAGGAAGCAGCCTAATGAAAAAGAGACAAAAGGTATGTTAGCGATATCTAGTGAGGATGAAACTTCTAATACACCAGTGAAAACCCTCAAAAACGCAAATGTGTCCACGGTCACACAAGAAAGTAAAACATATAAATCGAATGCATTATTTAGTCCTTATGCAAAAGAATCTGTGAAGAAGCGGGTTGAAGCATTTGAACAAGCGGTTATGCATAGTCCGAAGTCTGACATAGGTACTCCAACCAGAATAACTAGAACGAAAACTCGTGCAATGATCACTGCGGAAATGCAGATAGAAACAAAAACGACGGAGAAAAATGTTGCGCAAATACTAGCTCGAAAGTCGCTCGCTAAAGCTAAGAAGATTTCATTAGCGAAACAAAAAAACAATGCTGAACTTAAAGAGGTAAAAGAATCTGTGGTTATTTAATTATTTTAATCTCTTTTATTCTCTTTTACTATGTTTCATTAACGATAAATTAAACTTTGTCTTTCAGAACAAAGAACAATTACCGGAACGAATTAATAAATTATTGACTCAAACTGATAGATCAAATGTAAAAATGCAACAATTGAAAACGACACCTTTAAGCAAGACAAAATTGATGCAGCCTGTACTGTCTCTTAATCGTCTTCATACCCCTTCAAATATTCAAAATCTTTTGAATGTAAAATTAATACAAAATTTTATCTTTCTTAAATTGCACTATAGACTTATTCTTTTTAACTGAACCAATTTATCTTTCGTCCTTTTTTCTCCAGGAGGAAAGGAGAGGAAGAAAGATGAACTAGTGTAAAAGTTCAGTCAAAAAGAACAGGTCCATAATGCAATTTAAGAAAGATAAAATTTTGTCATATTTATTTATTTACATACTTTTATTTTAGTATCCAAAAGTTATAACCGCCTCGCGCACCAATATTGTTACTGGCGTGGAGTCTTTCATTCAACCATCAAAAACTATTACAACTTCCAATTCGATAGAAAAGTTAGAGGAAAAGAGACGGCACGAGGAAGACGCGAGAAAAAAAAAAGACGAAGCTTTGAGATTACAGACGGAAGAGAAGAAAAGGTATACAAAAATTTCGTAACACTAATCAAAAGATTTGCAGGCGGTACAATCATATATCTCGATATATACTTTGTATGCAGAAAGCGGCAAGAGAAGGAACTCAAAAACAAATTAGCAAGAGAAGCTAAGGAGAAGCAAGAATTAGAGAAACGCCAGAAAGCCGAGAAAGAAAGAGAAGAGAAGGCAAAATTAGCTCTTTTGATTCAAGAAAGGCATCGCGAGGAAGCGGAGAAGAAGCGTCTTGCCCAATTGCAACGAATACAGGAGAAGGAAGAACGTCGCAAATTGGAAGAGCAACAGAGATTGCAGAGATTACAAGAACAAGAGGAAACGGAACGTCTGTTGGCTGAGCAAAGACGTCGAGAGCAAGAAGCTGAAAAACGTAGGGAAGTGGAAGCAAGGGCTCAACAAGCCGCTGCTGAAGCTTTGAAACAGAAAAATCAGTTACTTACAACCCAAGCTAAAGTGAGTTATCTTTTTATGATGGAAAAAAATTACTTCATCCTACTTTCACACTCAAAACTGATAAATCGCTTACTTGATTTTTTTGCAGAAACAACAGACTAATAATAAGTATCAAGGTACTGTGAATTATGTGTTAGATAGTGAACCTGATGATGATGATGAATCAGACGATGAAAGCAAACCGAAGCACGAGATACCGTATTGGGCGCAGGGTACGTATACTTTCTTTTATATCTTAAATCATCATTAAAGTAAGAAGAAAAGAATATGAATCTATCTATTCTTTTTTAATTGCAGCGCACATTCGCAAAGTACAACTCGCGATGCAACAATATATTCCCGAAAGAATAGTTTATAAATTCTTCAATACTCGTAAGTGCACGCCAGATTTGACTGAATTATTCCAGGGTATAGATAAAAATCGATTGAAGCGTACATCCAGTGCAATCTGGAAAACGCCACCACGTATTTCCATGATGGAACCCGAGTTTGTCGAACGAAAATTGCCTTTAAAAAATTAATATGACAAATACATGTGGATATAATTAGAGGCATTAAGTATATATTATAGTATTGTATGCATGTGAAATGTAATAATGTTTAAGGCAAATTGTTTTAATTCGACATGAAGCCGCGTTGTTCGTTATTATATCCCAATATTCATAAAATGATGATGTACGTAGATATCTTCATGATTTGACAATTTAATTTTTTTTACTTATTTATCTATTTTTATATATTTTATCTTATTTGCTGAAGAAGAAGTAAAGCCTAAACATATAATTAGATAATCGACTTAGTAAATAATTAGATAAAATAATTGTTATGAATACGAGTTTTACAAATGTGAGTAAATTAATTCTCATTTTAATTTATACCATGTGTAAAATATGTATTATTTTATTATATATACTAACATTTTGCAAGAGTTTATAAAGTTCAAATGATGGAGAGCATTGCGGTAGATTTCATTTTGTGGAAGTGCCTTTGCCTCTTTATTACAGAAGAGCGCAGTAGTTCATCTTCTTAAATATACCTTTTTACTGTAATTATAAATAATTTAAAAATATATATATATATATCAAAGTATTCGACGGACAGCCTGTGTGATATCTTTTCAAAGATTTCGAATAAAAATAAAAATCCATACGTAGGTTCTATTTTCTGTCCAAGCAAGAGTGTTTTCTGCGCCTCTACAGATTTTAAAGAGTAGGTTGGTAAATACGTATAAATTGGTATCTACAAATATAAAATTTCTACAAGTTAAAATTCAAGTTAAAATTGCATTATAACGAATTCGATTAGATGCATTCAGTGCGCACTCGTGCATTAAAGCCATCGTACACATTTACGTAAAAATGTGTGTTCGATATAAATATAAAAATGAATTAAATAATAAAATCCTGAACACATTTTATTGAACTGTTAAGTAAAGTCATATTTTATAATTTGAAATATTTGCATTTTACACAAATTATTAATATGCATCTAACCGAATCTGCTATTACATAACAACATATAATAAATTTTACAAAATATATATTTTAATATATATGAAGTATGTATAATTGTATATGCATGTACTCACGTATGGCAAAGTATTGTCTAATTGCAGATATTTCTGATAGATGTTTCCAGGCAACTGTGATTCATAATATGTCTCGAGCACAAGACTATCGAATTCCTTCCCGTACAACATATATTGCTCTCCTTCGAGAGTTTCTTTTGAGATGTCGATTTCCTTTTCTTCAATCTTTATCGGTAATCTTTTCATACCACCATGAAGTACCTTTGCATCATCCCAAATGTATACATTGTTCTTGTATATATTTTTTTCAAATTTACCTTCAAAGTAGTAGAACTGGCAAATCCCTTAATGTCTGCTGGAAGCTTATAATCCTCGAAATATTTTTGCACGGGCACAGTAGGCAGAATCGGGATCCAATCTCTAAACGTACCTAATGTTGATATATAACGACCTCCATAACTCCACAAACGTACTGTGCGATCTGCGCTACCGCTATTATTTATTAAAATTTTTTAGTAAAGAAATGTATCAAAACCTTTATAATAATTGTATATACCTGATTATCACTCGCGCGCTAGAAATAATTTGAAGAGAAGTAATTCCCCGTGTATGACCACGCACAGATGACAGCAGAAGTGGCAGCATTTGATTTCGTACTGCTCTCTTCGCTCTTCCGTCTATTTTATCTTTCCATAAAAATGGGAATTCTAATCTCAGTAGCGGCATACAAATTTTTGGTGGATTTGGTAGCATGTAATTCGAAAGAAGCCAAACTTTTATATACCCTATACTATGACCTTTAAGAGGAAGTTCCAGGAATAAAATTGTAGACATTAGAAAAAAGATTTAACTGAAAAGTTAAGGATATAATCAAATCTTTAGAAAGTTCCAAAACCTGTTATAAAAAATTGATTTTCAGGATCAGTAGCTAAGGATGTGGCACAGTCACCGACAGTGTGTATGACTGAAAAAGCTCCTAAAAATCCCGCCGCAGGATGATGCGTCCATACTTGTATCAAACCGGAATCGAGAGCAACCAGCAGTGTGCCGACATCAGGTTTCGTTTCTCGCGCTGCTAGAAAGATTATCGCGCGTACCGCAGTTACGCGAACAATGTTCAATGCTGATTCTTGATGAACACATGGAGTCAATTTTCTGTTTCACGAGGATTCGATTTAAAACATTTCGACAAAAGAAACCTTTTCTTTTGTAGCCATAAGTGTATTATTATTTACTTAAGCTGCTGATTAATGGATCCACTGATCTCATTCAATTTTCTAAACTCTTTCTGTGCGTTCGTCATTCTCGTATTCCTATTAAGTCAATTAGCTTTCAATTGCAAGTTGCTAGCATTTATTGTATCAATTATTGTTCATGAAAATATCAAGTTGACATCACCTTCTATTAACATCAGTCACTTGATACTTTCTAAAAGGCTGGCCCGTTTCAAGATTCCAGAGAATTAATTCTTCGTTGTACGATCCGGTAGCTAATAGCTGTGGATATCTTGCAGCCAAGCATAGAATGTCATCGGTGTGACTGGTCGTCCAATTCTTTTTGCATATATCAGATTCGAAAATTGATAATTCTGTCACGTGTTTATTCCAACCGCAGCACAGAATTCGATTTTCGTACCATGTGATGTTCGTTATTTCGCTGCAGAAAAAATAATGTGAAATGAAAATTTATTACATCGTTCATGATATCGACGAAAAGTAACATTAGAAAACATTCTCTAATATCGAATTATTTAGATTTATTCATGCATTGCATGATTTAGTCGCATGCTCCAACATGCTTCTACTATAGCAACGTGCTTGTGGAGCGCATAGAAGCTATTGTATGTGACGCGAATAAACCTTTATATTACATTAGATTAGTCATTAATGTATACTAAAAGCTGCTATGTGTGAGATTAGCAAAGTGTAAAAGCATATAAATATGTATTTTAAATGATTATAAATGATAGTATTATTGCTATGTTAATTAACAGAATATAATATATTATTTTATTGTCAAAAAGTTGATATACGAGGGAAAATCAAAAAGTAAGGTCAATATTGTATATTAAATAAAAAAGTAGGGCGGTATCGCAGCCCATTCTTATTTTAAAATCATTTTAAGTAATGTTAAGATATTAATGCAGCTCTCTGATTGACTCATATCTCATCATCTCATCTTAAATATTGTAGTCAAAACTTAATCTTAAATATAAGAATCAACTATGAATATCGCTCAAAGACGAAGACATTCTGATAATCAAGCCATGTTTATATGTTTAAAAGTGCTATGATTAACTTCAGAAAATTCTTGATTATGTTAATCACTTGTCAAAAAGTCACTTGCTCCCCCAAACCCCACTTATGAATCTGTCATAACTCTACTTGCATACATAGAGAACATTGACCTTTTTTATTCATTCTCACATTATGCACTGATTCATTGGCTGTATTCAGCAGAGAAAATAGCTTGGCAACTGTTGTAAAATTCTTCAATATGATTGATTTTTGCTTTCGCGGTTTCTTATAGATCTAAACGTATAAACTAATGGCATTGAAGAATTTTACAATAGTTGCGAAACTGCTTTCTCTGCTGAATGCAGCCATTGTCGTGCGAGTGATCGAATTTATCATAATTCAAATAACTTCGTTTCCAATTATAATTGCAACAAAAACTTTTGGAAAAAAAATTGTATAAATAATTTTTCGAAAATGTAATTTTCCAATTACAATACTTTTTGTAATTTAAGGTGTTTTCCTTTGGGATACACTGGATGTAGCCTTGCACTATACTAGTTGCATGTAAACGTTATACTGTACTGGAGTGGTGCACATCATAGTGTACAATATAACTTCATTATTGCGCTAAAATCCCGGTTGATTTCTATTTTTAAATTTTAAATGTCACACTGGTTCTATATCTTTTTGAGATGATATAGCAAAATCCTACTTTGTGTATAAAATTTGTACTACACCGTAGCTACGGAAATACGGTACACTAGGCCTGTTTTTTTAGCTGAACTTTTGCACCAATTCATTTTCTTTTTCTCTTCAGGAAGAAAGAAAAAGAAGGATGAACTGGTGCAAAAGTCCAAAAAGAATAAGCATACTGTTTAAATATGTATGTTGCACTAGGAAAAACGCTATTACTATGAAATGTCACATAATTTGTAAGAAAAAAAGTTATTTAATATCCGCTGATTCCTACCATTGATGATCAATCATTATATCGTGTATACAGATTCCGGTATTGTAATTCCACATTTTCACTGAACCATTTCTTGCGCCAGTTACTAAAAATTGCTCCGAATCGTCGAAGCAAGCCGCCGTGATCTCGATGTCGGCGTACTGCCCATATCGTATAACACTGTGAGCGTGTGATATCAAATGTAAACGGCGTCCGTACCATGGATCCCATACGATGATGCATGAATCTAATCCTGTAGAAACAATCTGCATCCCGATAAAATAACATATCATTTATTAAAACTGTGCAACTGTATGTTATTTTATTGAATTGTACAACTCTGTTTTACTAAATAATTAATTTTTATTAATGATTTTATTAATGATTTTTGGATAAGAGGAAGTTACCACACGGAAGAGCTGATTGTAGAGAACACAACTGACGCCCTTGGTGTGCGTATAGCCATCCGAGATTTCCTCGTTAATTACGTGCTCGCAAACGAGAACAGCTATCATCATGCTGGCAATAATCATCGTACAGGTCAGTGTGTTGAACACTACGGTCATCGGAGTGTGTTCACTCAGCTCGCGCGGTAATTTGCTGTATGTCTGTTTACGAAATGTACACATCTTCTATTATTTATTAAAAGAAAATATGATTTATTAAACGATAAGAAAAATAACAATGTTCAACAGAAAAAAGACTACTATCTAAGAATTGTAATTTCTCTATACCTGAATGCAGCTAAGAGTTGGAACGTCCCATACTTTTATGCATCTGTCTTTCGACAAGGAAAAAATGCGATTGCCAGCGTTAGTTATGACAAGCGCGCAGATAGTCGATCGGTGCCCCAACAAAACAGCATTTGCTTTCCTGGGGACAAATGGATTCCAAACGCGAACCACGCAGTCTGGTCCACCCGTTACCAATACATGACTTTCTGAAAAAATCATTGTTTTAAAATCAGATCTGATTTACATCAAAATCTCCGTAACTGCAATTGCAAAGCGAAAGGATACCATCGCAGAGCGTGAAACAGGATATTCCCATGCGAACTTGAAATTTATATTGCATCTTTGTCCCACTCGTATCGAAAACGTACAAAGAACAATCAGAGCATTGACTACTCGATACAAATGCACGTAAGCTTCCATAATAAGCTACCTGGCTCGTCCAATTTGTATGTATATTTTTTAATTCTATGACATCTATTCCTTGTATCTTCCCCTAATTGTAGTAATCTTTTAGCAAAGTAATTTTCCGCAAAATCTTCGACTATATCTATGAAGCAAACCTTTAATTTATATTGGAATAAGATAATCAAATTTGAACCTATTTTGAAATTGTGCAATAAACAATTGTATAGAATAATTATTCACTTTAAAGGAGGCTTCTTCGATGATCTTGACATATGTAGTCAAAATCATGGCCCTGAGTGACCTCCAATAGGTTTTACTTACTTTAATGACATTGTCGTAACGGAAAATGATCAAGTCACTTGTAATATATTGCTTGAAAGGTCCTCTATCCATAGGATTAAAGGTCATGATTATAATAGATCCACTCGTATCACCTAGGACGATGTAAGAATTTTCATTCATATTTCTACTAAAGTAATAGTGCATGCAAACGACTGCATTTTCCAAACTGGATATCTAGAAATATCATTTATTATTCATTACAATTAACAATGGATGATAAAGTTTTACGAAATCTGGTTAATCTGTGTTAATCACTGACCAGTAAGCGAAGCTCAAACTTTTTTGCCGCGACGTCGTAAAATCTCAAATCGCATTCTGTTGAACTCGTGCATACTATCTGAACATCCGGTAGCACGATCATATCAGTTATAGCAGTAGATTGCACTTTTAAGAACGCTGCAAAAAAGGTACCGATAAAAGTGTTAACTGAAAATGAGAGAGAAGTTAAGAAATACTAACGATTCTTAGACTGCACAGTACGCTCATAGTTAAGATCTAATGACCAATAATTAATCACGCCCTCTCGACTAACAGTTAGATAACAACCTCGGCGGAAACTCGTGCTTCTATCCTAAAAATTGACATAATAAATCTGCGATAACTGTAAGACAAAAGTAAACAATATTTTTTTCGGAAGAGTGATCGATGCAAAAATCGATCAACTCTTTTTTTGTTAAGAATCAGAATATGTTTTTCCAATTAAGAAATATATTTTTCCAATCTATTTCAGAACGTAAAAAAGTATTACTATTGATACAGGAGAGTGAGCTTTCTCTGAGAATATAATAAAAGAAGAGATTGATTTGCGTATCAGTTCTTTTCAAAAAAAATTCTTATATTGTATATTTGTAAGAATTTTTTATATTTAAAATTTATTAAGATGTCTGGTAAAACTTTCCCTTTACACAGTTAACTCCAAATGACCTCCAACTGACTTTGAATTTGACCTTAATCCTCATGAAGATCATTGGTCTTTCCCATCGTTCGTTATTTATTTAAAAAAAGTTATTACATAACAAAACTGGATTTATAAACAAAACGTAATTTTTAGATAGGGGTATGAGATAAATCTCAATATGAGATAAATCTCAATGAGTGCAAAGCGAGTTCCATCCTCCCTCCCTCCTCTGCCAAGAAATGGACAACTTTTCTCGCGAAGCGAGTTTTATCCCATTTCCCCCTGCCAAGGGGCGCTCGATTTTCCACGCGAAGCAAGATCCACTCCTCCCTCATCAAAATACTGCTGAAATATATATCTTTTGTGTTTAAAAATTGTTTGCTATTAATAAAAATTGTTTTGTTCATAACTTTTTAATGAATAATGAATGACGGAAAAGATCAATGATCTCCTTGAGGGTCAGGTCATTTGAGGTTGACTATATAAAGGAAAAATTTTACTAGATTTCTAATAAAATATCTTAAACTTTTTCAAATTTTAAAAGTTTTCGTAGAAAATTATAGAAATCCTAGAATATTTTAGTATATATATATATACAGGGAGTGTCATCAAAATCCGGACAAATCAAACAATTTCTTTAAACAAAATATTTTTAATGAAAAATTAAATATTACAAAAAATTCTTTTACAACTTGAATGAACAGCCTCCTATTCTCAATCTGAAGCGTTCGCTCGCACGCTGTAATATAGCGCTGTCTGTGCCAACGAATGCTGCCTCAATAGCGGTTCTTAATGACGTCACACGTTGGGATGTCGAGACTTGTTTGTGACCCTTTCAACTGCGCTTCATAGTAATCCAAGGGATTTAAATCTGGGCTGTTGGAAGGCCAGAATAGGAACCGAGGCGAGCAACTCGGATTATCTTGGCAGCTTCAGAAAGCTTCAGCATCTGTCATATCTTTAATGTGTACGATTTGTATCGAAGGTAATTCCTCGACAATTCGCATTGTTGGCTCGCTTACACCAACAATCGATACTAATTTTCGCACGATTGCCCTGGATCATCCGAAATCAACGCTTGAGCCCTTTCAATGATTGCGGGGGTCTTCGCGATGTGTTCTTTCGAGTGACTCCTACTCATTGGACTGTTCTAAAACCGTATTTTGTCACAACATCATAAACGGTTGATCTCAGATATCCAAAAAATCGAATTGTTTTCGTTGCTGAGCGCGAAGGCTTTCGATGATTGCGGCTTTTTGATTATACTCCGCACTTGATTTTAATATCGCGCCCATTTTGAGAATATAACTGTTTACTAGAAGCATTCATCAGGTTTTCTCGGACGCCAACAACAACCTCTGGCGGAGGCACACTATAGCGGAAAATTTTAATTGAAATTTGTCCGGATTTTGGTGACGCACCCTGTATATATACCTTTATTGTTTACATATTCTTGTAGCTTATCTCGAGAGCTTTCCAAAACATTATAATAAAGTTACGTTTCATTGAGTACTTTCTGAGTTATAGAACTTGAAAGTTATAATATTGCATTATATGTACACATGCGCGTGTGAGCGGGATTCTTACGCGCGTCTCCGCGATCCACACTTCTTGACATACGCTCACTCGTATGGATGCATGTCTTGCTTTAATTGATTGGATCAGTGATCGATCTTGCCTTAATCGGCCGGATCAATGATCGGTCTTGTCTTAATTGGCTGAATCAGTGATCGATCTTGCCTTAATTCAGGGCAAAATGCTAAAATTGGGCAGTCCGCGAATGCTTAGTTATTGTGTATATTGAGTCAACTTCATTTATAACTCAGGAGGGTATTTTATTTTCTTTGTACCTTAAAAAGAAATTTTGTATTTTATGCTTTTTTTATCACAAAAATAGCATCGCGCATTTATATGAGCGTTATAATTTTTGTTCTCGAGTACTAAATTCTTTAAATAAAAGCAATAAATATTAACATAAACAATAAATATATTTTATTTAAATTCTTTAAATAGAAGCAATAAATATTCTTCTGCAACATGCAAAATAAAAGAAAAATGATAAATAACTAAATAACAGTAGTAATATAATAGATAGGCAATCATCAAATTATGTCTAGCTGTCTAGCTTAGAAAAAACTACAAAAATTAGTTAATATTAATAATATGGATAAAACAGTTAATATTAATAATATGGATAATCAAAGTACGAAAAGAATTATAAGTACAGATTCTGAGAATCTGTGAAGAAAAATGGTTAATAATTAAATTTAATAACTATGCACAATGTTTGATCTATGTGAATATAATTCCAAAAAAATATCGAGAGATAACACAAAACATGGAACTATTTATGACGAAATAGAAGAATCGGAATGAGTTGAATTCTTAAATAATTTAAATATGTTTTAACTTCTCCTGAACAGTATCTGAAATTCTTTTGCATTATGTGTAAAATGTCTATATATGTTTTTTTCTTGTTTACAATTACTGTTCAACATATTAGGAAAATATTAAGAAAAATAAGATAATTAGGAGAACAATGTTTGAATAAATACTATAAGTTAAGGAAATGAGAAAAATGTACATAATTATATAATAATATATAAAAATTATACATAATTAATATATAGAATATTATACAATCTGACACAATTTTATCTTTTGTATAAGAAACTATGAAAAATTATTTTTCTAATTTTTTTTTTAATTATCTTATTTTTTTCTATTACATATTTACATATGAACCGAAATTATATAAGAGAAAGAAAATGCGTCTTCCATATAACACCCCTTATTATTTCTGCTCATAGCATTTATTGCTCAAAGATGTTCAACTATTTACTATCTTAATGCATTCAACTATTGCCCGTAGGCAACTGAACGCCCGCGAGCCCATCTGCCGATCCCTGCCTTAGTTGATCGGATCAGTCCCGATTTTGCCTTCGGATCAGTGATCAGTCTTGCCTTATAATTTAACAAGTATTTAATGAAAAATAACTTTATTATAGTGTTTTGGAAAGCTTTTGAAATAAGCTACAAAAAAACAGTAAGTGACAAAAATTATTTATTTTCTACTCATAGAGCTCTAATTTTTAATATTGTATTTTCTTTTATTGGCAATTATTTTTATCATGAGAAAATGCGATACTAAAAAATTCTGAAAAAATTCTCAGAGCTCTATGAGAAAAAACTAAACAATTTTTGTCGCTTGCTGTTTTTCTGTAAAGTTGATAATACTTGAGTAAAAAATTATTAAAAACTAATATTCGATGATTTTTAAACAGGGTCCCCATTTTAAATAATGTATTAAGATTTCTCGAAAATTATAATAGATACGGAAAAATGTTTCAAACACAAAAGTTGTATGATTCGGAGGGAGACATAAGAAGATATCATTGATTTGATCTTGAGTGGCGTCATCAAGATCAGATTAAGATTATATTGATTTTTTTTGGAACATCCTATCTTTGATAGCAGACTCTAATAGCTGGTGTCAAGAGCTTTTCAAAACACTATAATGAAGTTATTTTCATTAAGTACTTTCAAGTATTTACTTTTAAGTACTTACAAGGCTTAAAAGTTGCAGTATCGCCGGTATTAGCATTACGCAAGGTGTCCGACCAACGGCTAAAACCTCTCGAAAATTGTTCAGGATCATGTCCTGGATAATATTTATTAAGATCAAGGCTATTGGAGGTTGTATTTTCATTTTATTATTTTCATTTTTATTAATAACCATTTTTATGTAAAAATTAAAATAACAAATGTTATAAGATACCTGAACAATATTCGAGTTTTTGAGAAATCTTAATGCAATATTTAAAATGGAATATCCTGTATACATATAAAGACTTTTAGAAAAGATATATAAATATAGATTTTTTTGCACTTTTGAAAGTTCCAATCCATCTATAAAAAATCTGAGAAATTTTCTAAAAAGTTAATAAAATTATATAAAAATTTTGAAAAATTCTGAAATTTATATGGAATTCTAACCGAAAAATTATAGAACAATTCTAAAAAATGTTTCACTAGACAAATTTTTAATGTTGAGTCGCATACTGGCAAAACTTCCGGGCAAAATGTAATTCTGCACACAGGAGTGCGATGATGCGTTCTTGACAATTTGGGTAAACTCATTAATGGTGTTTCCAATATTTGCGACCTCAAACTAGTGTCTATATCCCGAAATTCTATCAGCAAGTAAGAAATGAATTCGTCCCACGTTACTTTGCCATTAAGTCTCATATCTATCTGAATTGACAATTAAATTTTTAAAAACATTTTTTAAAAATTGAAAGAAGGTAAAGATTAACTGACTTTATTGAAGAGAACTTGAAATTCGTCCTGCGACATTTTTATTTCGAGGATGTCACGAAAAGCATCATATAGTTGAGAAGAGTCCATCTCCCCATTCTCTGTTGCCTGTATCCAATTACATTTTTGTAAGAAAAAATCATAAAAAACATTACATTTTTGCGAGAAAAAACGTTTAGTTACCAAAAAAACATTATGTAAACGTGTCAAAGATTGCTCGGTACATTGCTCTTCTATAGTTTTGTACCCGAAAAATCGTTCGAATGCTTCTTGTATACTACAATGATAATGCTCATACACATAATAAATAACTATCTAAATTGCTACAATAACAGTTGGTTATTTTTTCACTAACCTTGGATGATTTTTATCAATAAATGCCATCGCAATTACAATTTTCTAATAAATAAAAAATTGTTTCATATCAGGAATGTATCTGATAATTTTATCCATTTACGTATTTCCTAAAAATTGTCAAAGATCTTCAAGAATTACATCAAATATTAATAT